GCAGGTGGCCTCATCACTATTGGTGTGCTTGTTGGCAGTGAAAGAGGCTAAGGGCTAAATGGGTCGCATACTATAGAGAAAGATCCTGTACAAACACCGAAGGAAATTTTCAGCTCTTCATCATGGAGCTGATCACTGCAGTAGCAAGGGGTAGGGTATTCAAGAAAGTTTGTGATAACAAACACTCTCTGGACTATACCTGTTCAGGACTGTCAAGCCAGCACTGCTCACCAGAGCTGAATTCCCTTGGAAATGTGCATCCATTCTCTGCAAGGTCTTTGTGGTTAATCATAATGGGACTGTAGTGTGAGATCAAAGCCAGTCTGTAGGTCCAACCCTTACAGATGTGCCTTTTGTTTTCTTTCCTCCAGGATTCCTATCCCCTATTCCTGCTCTTCTTACCCCACCCAGGCCCGGATGCCAGTCACAGCAAATGGCACCCACAGTTCCCCAGGCCAGGCATGCCTGCCAAAGTTTGATGTCATGTTCATGAAGACACACAAGACAGCCAGCAGCACCATCCTCAACATCCTCTTCCGCTTTGGTCAGAAGCACCGCCTCAAATTTGCATTCCCCAATGGCCGCAATGACTTCTACTACCCATCCTACTTTGAGCGGAGCCAGGTGCAAGACTACCACCCTGGTATGTGCTTCAACATCATCTGCAACCATATGCGGTTCCAATACCAGGAGGTACGCAAGCTCTTGCCTGCTGACACCGTCTTCCTGACAGTGCTACGGGACCCTGCCTACCTCTTTGAGTCTTCCTTCCACTACTTTGGCCGTGTCATCCCCCTCACTTGGAAGCTGCTGGGTGAGGACAAGCTAGCAGAATTCCTCCACGACCCCTGGCATTACTATGACCCCAATGGGTTCAATGCTCACTACCTCCTGAATCTGCTCTTCTTTGATCTAGGCTATGACAACAACATGAATGCCAACAGCCCTCTGGTGGACCAGTACATCCAAGAGATAGACCAGCGCTTCCATCTGGTCATGCTGCTGGAGTACTTTGATGAGTCTCTGGTGCTGCTGAAGGACCTTCTGTGCTGGGAGCTGGAGGACATCCTCTACTTCAAGCTCAATGCCCGCAAGGACTCCACTGTCTCCAAGCTGACAAATGAGCTCTATGAGAAGGCCACCTCCTGGAACCTCATTGATGCAAAGCTTTATCGCTATTTCAACACCACTTTTTGGCACAAAGTAGATGCCTATGGGCGGGAACGGATGGCAAAGGATGTGGCTGAGCTGCAGCAAAAGAATGAGAAGATGAAGAGCATCTGCATTGATGGGGGCCACCCAGTGGATGCCAATGCTATCCAGGAGTCATCCATGCAACCATGGCAACCGCTGGGGGAGAAATCAATCCTGGGCTACAACTTGAAGAAGAAGATCAACAAAAAGCATCAAAAGCTGTGCCGCAAGATGCTAACCCCGGAGATCCAGTACTTGACTGACCTGGGTGTCAACCTTTGGCTTACCAAACTCTGGAGTCATGTGCGGGAGTTCCTCAAGTGGTAACAAAGTGAAAGGCAGCCATCCCCTTCCCCTGCCTCTACTGCCCCATCCCCATTAAGGGAAGAACCAGGTGCTTTTGTTTTTGTTTCTTCTTTACATCCATTGGTTGGATATGGGACACAATGCATCACCGTGAGCAGGACTGGCTTGAGACTCCAACAAGCAAGCTAGAGACTGACCCCCATCCTGAAGTTCTGGCTACCCTGGGAAGTATGGTTAGAGACCCATGTGGGTGGGAGTAATAAAAGCAGCTGCCACTCTTCTACCTAGTACCCTACCACCAACTCTGTTGATCCTGCTTTGGTCAACCAATTCCACTGTCTCTTTCCAAGAGCAAGTTCAGGGCACAGGGAAGGCAGAGAGAGAAGATCTGGGCTGCAGTGTTGAGTCTAACTGTCTAAGTTTGCATTAGCTAAGTGCAGGCCCTAAAAAAGAAAGAGCAGGACACAGGACATTGTAACAAGTTACATGTTACTCATCATTTGTGGTTTTCTGTTCAAGGGAGCTTTTTCTTATTTCTATTTGAAAGAGTTGGAGGCAGTATTTGTGACAGTTGGATCCCTGTCTGTACCCTAAACATGCATTAATAGTAATCGATTGGCCACAGAGCACACAGGAGACAAGCTGTCAGTCATACAAGGGTTGCAAATATGTGTGCCTGACAGCTATGGCTGTGTGTTTCAGCCTAGTGATGTATGTATGATTCTCCAGGTATGTGTTTTATGCATGCAAGCTTTACTCTGGCTACTAGAATTGTTCGTGCAATACATTGCAATGTGTAAAGGAATTTCGTTGTGTGAATGAGAGACTGATACAGTACATGGTATAGTCAGGGTGAGTGTGTGGAAAATATATTACAGGAAGCACTGGTGTCAGTATATTTGGCCAATATGTTTACCAGTGTTTGAGGCTGTAAGTATGAGATTTGCATTACAGTCCTTTAAGAAGTGTGTGTGTGAAGACCAGTTTGGGTGTATTTGATGGGTAAAAGTAGTATATTACAGTGCATATTGATATCTTGATATGTGTCACTGTGTGTGCTTGTTGTCAGGTATGTATATACGTCTATGTGTATTGGAAAGGAATCGACATATGACTAGCATTATGTATTGCTGTATATGTTACATTATAGTGAGTATCAATACCTCTAGGTTTGTAATTGTGGGTGATATAAGACTGATCTGTGACAGTGACTGGTGCTATGTGTGTGACTGATCTGTTATTGAGTGTGTTGGTGCCTGTATATGTGAATCTGACCTGCCCGTTTATCTGTATGTCTGTTTAAAACTGCACAAGTCACACGCTGGTTCATGTAAGAGATGACACTCGATATTTTCAGTCCATTCTAAAGACTGAAATTTGCACTGATTCACTCTAGCCTATAGACTGTCAGTTCCATGTGGCCTGTATATAGTCTATGCGTGGTGGTCAAGATAATTCCATATGCTGACTATTATCTGCAACACAGACATCAACTGACCACAATAACTAAGACTTTCAAACTGCACTGATTCAGACCGTTTCTTTGTGAATGAAATAGCGCCAACGTGGACTGTCTTTAGATACATTAAGATGGCTAGTGGGTCATATTTAATCAAACTGGTTCTCCCATAGCACTGATTTTGAGCAGTCTGTCTATGATATATGCCACATTGAGTGGTCTTTATTACTAGCTCAGGCTACTACTAGTCCATACGCCTCGTGTTTTTATGGAGTTCACTGTGCTCATGCAGTCTGTATTTGGCCATAAGTCACTATGACATATTATTGACTAGTAGCTAGCAAAATAACTTTCATTTGAGTTTTGAGAATGTTTATAAAAATAAAAGCACAAACCTTGTGTAGGTTTTTTTGTGATCCTAGAGTTCATTAACAGACTGGCAGATTTAAACCAAAACAGCAGATATAGCAGAAGTCCAGTGGGCCACCTTTGTCAGCCAAGTCTCAGCCTTCAGCAGCTCTTGCCTCTGAAGGTTTCACTGCAGAGATGTGAGAGGAAAAAGCTGCTCATCAGGGGTATATTCATACCACTTGTGCAACACTCCCAGGAAACCCCGCTACCTACTGCCTCCTGTTCCCATGTGCTGTTCCTTGAAAGAGGTAGTGAAGCCATGCTGAGAGCATCCCACACCGATGCTCTCAGGCATCCTAGAGAAGGAGTTCTTGAGAGCATGGTAATGGGTATACTCAGCCAGCTTCACATCCTTATTGATGGAATAGACACACACAGAATGGGAAGGGGGTGCTTTGGTGGCACTCTTGGGGATATTGTCAAAGCAGTGTAGACATAGTGTGACAGAACCTTAGTTGAAAGCTCCTATGTCTTAATTTGTAGGTTAGTACTTTTCTAATCTAATCCTTAGCTCCAGTCAAGATGTGTGTATAGTATTTACTGGGCCTGTGTGGTCTCATGGCTCTGAGCTGCCCGTCTTCGCATTAGATCATGGCAGTTCAGGCCTTGCTGCCTAATTCTCTCCCCACCTGCCACCCTCAAATCCAAAGGTCTCACCAGTTAGAAGGCCCCGTGGTGCCACTCCCCAAAGAGGAGATGCTAGACATAAACTTCGGGATCTGGTGAAAATTGGTGTGGACGCAGGGAGGACCTTGTAAAGAGGATGGGGGAGGGAGGGTTTTTCCCTTGCCTTCTTTTCTTGCTTTCATACTTCTTTGAGGGAGAAAGAGCCCAGGAGGGGCAAAAGGGAACAGGAAACAAGCTTTCAGTGGCTGCCAATCTAATGATCATTATAAGTGCTAGTTGCTAGCACCACAGCCTCTGTACCTCTGTAGCACAACAGGATGGTGCCAAAGAGCAGTGGCATCCAACAAGTAAAAAATAATATTACGATAATGCAAGTGCATATTAGCCTGACAAGGGACAGGGTTGAGTATGACAGCACCAGGAACTATCACAAAAGTCTTAGGAGGGAGCCAGGAAAAGGAGAAAGAAAGAGCAGGCACTAAACAGCAGGGAGGGCTTCCAGGACAGTGCTGGTAGAGCCAGAGAGCTGTGAATCTCTGGGCTATACAAGGCATGTGGCCTAGCTGTGGGGGGGAATGACATGGGGGGCTGGACTCGATGATCTTCCAAGGTCCCTTCCAGCCCTGATGTCTATGAAAATCCCAGCCATACCTGGAAGTGCAGCCAAGCTCAAGAGAAGCAAAAAAGGGAAAGCCATTGTCTCTGGGGTGAAGAGGGAATGTTCCTTGCAGCCTGAGGGAACACTATACCTGCTGGTTGGTTTGGCTGGGTCAGTTAAGGGAAGGATTTTGGAGCCACCAATTGGTGCTGATTTCCTATGCATACAGAAGAGAGGAATGTGCACTAGTCCACAGTTCACTTGTCTCTAGACACACTGGAGTTTGTGAAGGAAGCAGCTGAGGACTCCCTCAGGCACAGCCAGCGAGGTAGGGGAGAGACAGGAATAATATTAGGGCTTTTCAGAGAAGGGAGAACGCACCTGTTTCACCTGAGAGAGGTCATTGCCTTTGCAGTCCAGGCTTGTTGGCCCATTCCTCACCTTCAAGAGGAGCTGGGGTGGTAACACAGCGTGACTTCCTTGCTTTTTCAGCACTGATCATCCAAGGGCCCAGGTGGAAGGTTCTGAAGTGACAGGAGGATGAGTTAGAATGAGTCAAGAGCGAAAGGCCTGTCTCTCCCCAGCTTCATGCTGAGCTGCCAGCAGCTGGGTCCCCCTCAGAAGCTACAGCTCTTGGGTGCTTTAGTGCTCACATTGCAGGTATTAATGTGGTGGTTTATGGCATATGTGTAAGGAGCTGGCTACAGATGACTGGACGCTGGGGTAGGGTGGTAAGTAGGTAACTGCCTGCAACTCATGTCCTAGGTTCATACTTGCACCAGAGTGAGAGGCTTCCATATAGACAGACCCTTCCAAACACAGGGCTAGCAGGGGAGGTGAGGGCGAGAAGAGGCAGTTTGATCTAACAATGAGTCTTGAATCCCTCTTTGAGCTGACTTCATGAAGCAGCGGTTGGATTTGCACATCTCTGTCCTGTCCCTCCCATCATTAGCTGTCAGCAGTACTTCCAGGGTTGTGCAAAGCCTGGATAACCAAGGGCCTGAGGATTATACCTAATCAATGGACAATGGAGCCAACTGCAACTCCTCCTCAGGGATGGCCTATGCTTATAGGAATTCCCTGGATGCACTCCATTATCTTTAAACTGCTTGGATGAGGCATGCAGGCTGGGATCCATGCTTTGCATGGGTAGCCTGTCCTTTTGAAATAGGATGGGGGCCCTAGCCTTGCTGTTGAGTGTGATGAGCAGTATCTAGCAGCCTTTCATTTAAAGGGCAGCGCTTACCTCTTCTCCTTGCCACAGCCAAGCGTGTTCCATTAATATTCCTTGGTGCATGCGTTTAACATTCTACTGTTTGTAAAGATGAGAAATAAGATAATTATAATTTTGTAAGATAATTATACTGTATATTTGACAGTTTTTAATATAAGAACCATTTAGCTGTTCTCGCTCCAGTCTCTTTCTTTCTGCCTGGATGTCAGGAGGGGCCTCTTCACCCCAGCAGCAGGGGACAGATACTGTGAGGGCAGCAGCCTCTTGGGACAGAGTCTCCCTGCTCCACTTGGTGTGTCTTTCTCTATACATGGAGAGGGAAGATCAGATGCAGTTGCCTGCTCCTGACCTCTCCTGCTTATGTACATCCTTGTCAGGGAATCCCACATGAGCTGATAGGATGGAGGGGGTTCCCTTAGTCCTGCATCATAAACAACAGTGTTCTTCTATTTCTGCTGGAGCCGCAACATAAAGACTGTTTTGGCTGAGTTTCCCCCTCCCTAACTTTCCCTTCATGTGTCCCCCTGCTGAAGTCCAGCCCAGCAATTCCCCCTTCTTGTTCCTAATTCTGGGATCTATTGCTAACTCCCCTTGCAATGGACAGTCTCTTAGACTCTCACTGTTGGGCTCTTCCAACAATTCTCCTATGCAGGCAGAGGTGAAATAGCTTTCCCTCTGGCACTCCTGCCCACCCTCCCGCTCTGACGATGTTTTACTGACCCTGCTCTGAGGTTCCCAACTGGTCTGCAGTGCCAGCAAAATATGGCTCACGGGTCACATCCAGCCCACCAAGTGATTTCAAAGCGGGCACCTCTCTGCCCTCCGGGCAGTAGGCATGGGCTGCAGGGGCAGCTCCGGCTCTGGTTACTAGGCTAACAACACCCCCTACCTTCCCCCACATTGTGCAGGGCCCATCCCACCCCCAGCCCTAAGGCAGAGGGCACTGGAGACAGAAAGTTTCTGCTAGGTGAGGCTTTTACCCCGCAACCCTGGCCATTTGCAGAGGAGGCAACCCGGTCCCTAGCAAGAGTCAAAGTGCAGGTATAGGTCTGACCCAGCCGTGCTGGGGACTCATGTTCTGGGGAAGGGGGCTGGGAGCCGCCAGTTATCTGGGCTGGGCTCCGCTGTGTGCCACCACCTGCAGTAAGCCTGGCCACACAGCTGCACATTTTGGACTCAGGTTAGGAGCCATGGGTGATCAGACCTGGCTAGGCCAGGCCCTAATAGGGATGCAGGCGCTGCTAAGGGTCCTGCTCTGTCTCCACTGCTGATGGTTGACATGGGGATCAGGGCAACGCGAACCTGCCTGAGAGGGTCTGAATGTGCAGGAAGGGGGAGCTGATCCACTCCCCTTGTCAAGCAAATTCAAAGCCAGGCACTTAGCAGTGCAGGTGCCAACCAAGGGGAGTTAATCAGCTTCCTCCACTCAGCTTTGCAGGTGCTGGGTGGGAGAGTTGATCAGTTCCCCACACTCAGCAAGTTCAAAGCATGCATGGCCACCAGGCACATGGCTTTGATCTTACTAAGTGGGGGGAATGACTGACTTTCCCATGTCTGGCACTTGCAGAGCCATGGGCCTGACAGTGCCATGCAGGGCTGCATCATGTGCAGCTTGCAACTTTCCCTAAAATCCAGTCCTCAAGCTCATGCATTCTGCCATGCCCATGTAGCACAGCAGGGTGCATGACTTTTGGGATCCAGGATCAGATCCCATCATGTCATTAAGTTATTGTCTGCCAAGGCCCAAGGGCTTATATCACCAAATGAAGTAAACTCCCTTTCTAAAA